GTGACAGCTGTTGATCTACTTTGGCCACCTTTGGGCACAGCAACTGTAACTGTAAAAGCAACAAGCTCTTGCGGCGCTGCCTTCGCCCAAGCCCTAGCGCAATCAATAGAGCAAGAAAATGAAAAGAATACAGAGGCAGACGCGGCGTCTTCTTATTTGTTTCTTTCTCTTCTGTCTGGCCAAACGAGCAGGGATAAGGGGCCATTGCCACTGGTTGGGTATTTTTGTGCTTTTGTTTTGGTTCTCTGTTCTATACGAGATCGTGTTTTTATTGCTTTTATACTTTTGCTGTTGCATAGCTCAACCCGACTGACTCATCCATAAGGTAACTGGCAGCGACAGACGCAATCCAAACAGACGCCTGTTGCCTGCTGCCTGTTGCTTGCCTCAACCTCAACCTCAACTGTACTTGCCGCTGCCGCTATAAATTAAAATTATGTTGTAAGCATATATACTTGCAAACTCACACACACACTCACACAGGGATGAGACGCCGAAGTTGCAAGCTGCGGTTCGGTTCGCACACCAACTAGTAGTGTTTCCTCCAAAGAAATTTGAATGCTCTTTGATCTATCATATTATTAATAATCTGAAATTTGTGCTCATTCCATTCCGTTTAAATAACTTTCTTCAAATAACAAAACTGCCGGGCAGCCTCTGCCTGGATAGAGCTCAGCTCGAGCATAAATTTAATTTACTTAAATTTTGTTGATTTATTAAAAATATTTTTTTAAAATATATGCCGTGATAGATAAAATATATAAAATATATAGATAATCTGAAATTGTCAACCAAAATATTTCTGGCAAAGATGTTTTACTTCAAGTTCACTTTAAAATCCACTAGCTCAATGCAAATTAAATTAAAGTTGTTTTGTTTTTAATTTTATATTTTCAAATTTTTTATCAAACTAGTAAATTTATAAAAACAAAAATATTAAAATTATCTTTATTCATTATTGGTGATTTAACTCACTCTCTACATATGAGATACATATATATATAATGTATAGCATTTAAAGTAATATTATAATTTAGTTTTAGTTATATTATATTAGTTATATTAGTTGTATAATTATAATAAATATTTATTATCATTTATATTCATTTTAAAAATTATCTATTTTTAATGAAGATATATATTCATATATATATATATTTCAACTTTCTTGTTAAAAAGACAAGAAAGGAAAAATATTAAATGCTAATTCTAAATGCCTAAGCAATCGCTACTCAAAAGGTGCGAGCTGTGGGGACCCGAAGTGGATGAAAAGTTGTGTTGGCAAACTGGCATGGTCGGTTTTTTGGTGAGGGTATTTAACAAGGCGGAGCAAAACGAAAGAGAGACGACAACTCAGACGACGCCGACGACGACGACGTCGCAAAAATTGCAGCTTGCAACATTAACATGTTTTATGTGAGCTGGAGTCTAGAGGCACGTCCAGAGCAGAGCGAAACGGAGCTGATTGTGGATGGTAGCTGTTAATGATGTTGATCTTGATAATGATGCTGATGCTAATGCTGATGATGATGATGATGATGGTGGTACGGCCGCTTCCTTTGGGCAAAAGCTTTGCAAACGATCTCATCTGCGTATGAAAACAGATTTCGAACGCGTCTCGCGCTTTGTTTGCTGTTGCTTTTGCTGTTGCTTTGTGAAGGAAGTGGTATTGAAAGAGAGACACAAGCTGAGGCACAGTTCAGTCAGTCAGGAAGGAAGGAAGTTGCGCCTGTTTCAGGCATAGCGTCTTTAACTTCAATGCATCGCAGAAAGGTCTGCCACACTGGAGTACATCAAGCCGAAGCATGCAAATTGTTTCCCAAATGTTATTGACCTCTTTAAAAACGACCAAGACGAAGGCGCAGACCAGGACCGAGATACCCCTGTGTTGACAGCCATTCAGATATTTTGCTGTTGCATTCATTGCGCATAGTCTCATATTCAAAATTCCTGAGCCATGGCAAATGCCAACGCGGCGACATTTTCCATGTGTTGACAATAATTTTGCTTCTCATAATATATTTTTTTTTGTTTTCTTTCCTCCGGTTGCTTTGCCTCTTTGGTTACCCATTGGGCTGGCACGCCTACACATGCCGCTGCCGTTGCCAATGCCTATGCCTATTCTTGTGCATAATCTACGCTTCTTAAATTTTACTATTTAATTGCTTCATTTCGGCACGACAGGGCATGGCGCACATGTTCAGTATAACGAACTGAGCGGAACGATCCTTATTTTTACTTCTTCTTTCTTTTTTCCAATATTTATTACGAACAAATGACAGCCAAAAGTGCCTGTCCAAGTATCCACTTACATGGCTCTTACGCATCTCTCTTTCTCTCTGCCTTTGACGAAACAAAAAACACTTGAAATTCACCCAGTCACAGATCATTTGTTCTACGTGTGCGTCTGTGCGTGTGTGTGTGAGTTGTGTGTGTGAATATGTCCATGCTTGGGGTCAACATTTTACAAAATTCTAAACGAATATGTTATGCAGCTTTAGGTGGTCCAGTTTTTGCTTCAAAGCTTGTTGACAGATTTAAATTTAGAATATTGAACTTTCTCTTCGATTTATGTCTATAAAAAATGCCATTAATAATATTGGAACATGAATTTAAAGTGGATCGATGGAAAGATTGAATCTCGTCAGACGCAACGTAAACGTTCACAAATTGCATTTTAGTCTTTCAATTTATCCAATCGATGCGAAGATCAACCTATAAACTATCTGTACAAATGTATAGAGAAAATTAAATAAAAAACTTTAAATATTTATTCCTTTATATATTAAAAAATAAGTAAATCAGAAAACATATGGTTGATAATTTCTAGAATGTTGTGAATGTCTTTCATATTATTGATTAGTTTTTGAGTTATTTAAGACAAATTCCTACTTACTGAAAGGCTCTAGACTAGTTTGCCAACAGTTAGTAAGTAATTAAGTAAATTCAAGACTTATGAATAATGTTTTTTTTTTTTAGAAAAAATTCCAAATTATACTTAATATATCGTGTGACTTAAAATAGAATTGATCATAATAAATTGAGAACAAAATGCAATATAAATGTGGAACATTTGTTTAAGGCATTTAAATACAAGATCATTAACATTAATGTAACCTTTATATTAGTAAATTAATAAATTCTCTCTCTCTCGCGCGCTCTTTTCTTTTAGCTGAAATTGCTTTGATTTACATGTAAACGACATAAAACTGATCAGCATACAAGCATACATACATATTTAATTACATGCGACAAAATTTTCCATGGGGAACGTGTGAACGGGAAAACCCACAAAGGTAACGAAACCAAAACAAATACATATATGAGCAACAACAACCAGAAATAGAGAGAGAGAGAGGGACGGAGAATGTGAAAAACTGTCCACACATCAAATGCAAGCATATATACAGACAGACAGACATACATACGTGCATATACACCTATATATATTAGATTATGAAACAGATTTTCGGTACGTTTTCGGTTTCAGTTTCGGTTTCACTTCGATTTCTGTTTTTTTCTGCTTACAAAAGAACAAAACAAACTGAAAAACCAAAATGACAAGAAATGCGCCAGTGATAAGGTTAATCAAGGGGAGCGACTGCATCGACTCCATTTCCATATTAACATAATCAATGAAGTATTCAAATGCGTGCCTGTGTGTTTGTATGTGCGTGTATGAGTGTATTTTAAGAAGACCCTCTGAGCGGCGACTATCTTTCAAAGAGAGCAGGGGCAACACTCTAAAATGGGCATAGTTAATTCTTGAATGTACTTACCGAACATTTTCAATCAGCAGCCAAAGCAACAGTTAGGCAATTGTGAGACCCCCTACCGATGAGAGCCGGCCCGTCCGTCCATTTCTCTTAGCAGTATTTAAGCCTTAGCACACACACATGGATACGCACACAGGCGAACGATCACGAAATGATATTTGAGTAAAATTTTTAGATATTGCAGCCAAGTGAAGTGAGAAATCGAAGAAGGAGCAGCACTTTGGTTGTCTGCCTTGATGCACGTGAAGCGTTTTTCAAATGTTTGTGTATGTACGGCTCTAAAGGATAACGCAACAGGAGTTCGTCAAGCGCATATCAATAGCTGTGCGAAGGAAACGTTTAGCATTAAACACTTAAGCACGCCTTCCCATCCCAAAAACAACCAAAACGAACAGTTCAAAAAAAAAAAAAAAAAAAAAAAACAAAAACCGAAATACCCAAAAGTCAGGCATATTATTCTTATCTGCTGACACATAAAGTGCCAAAAATTATGGCAAAAGGAAATTGGAACCCTCCGACGCGACGTCAACAGCGCTGTCAGCGTCAATGTCAATGTGCGAGACGAGATGAGGTAGAGCAAGAGAAGACCACAAGACCCAAAGAGCTCAGAAGCGGAGAGTTGAGAGCGTCTACGTTCCCTGCATACGAGCACTACTAATATAATTGTATACATCAGCGGATGAGGCACTTTAAAATGTAGTTCATTGGCTGCACTATCATCAGACATGCTAGGCGCATCTTCAGGTAGACTTAACGTGCTCTACGTGTTCCGATCTCGCAGTGCTGGTGGCTCTGAGAAATTTTATAATTATTTTTATACAACAGTACCTTAGATCTTAGTTTATAAATGCACCGAACCTGAAATATTTGCATTTGCACTCCTTGTCTAGATCCACCGGAAGCAATACTTCATCCTTCAAGTATGCTGTTCATTAAAACATTATTGCACACCTTAAAAGTATGCTATACACTTAAATTATATCAACTCGCTCAAAAGTATGCTGCACTTTTAATAGTTGCTCAGCTGCCTGTCAGTTTAATCCCACAAATATTTTGATTCTAAAGCTAGATATCTTAAAACCTTGAATGTTCTTTACAAAATGTTGGCAAAATTTTTGGAACGATTGTTATAAAGGTCATAAGTAATCAGCTTTATTTCATAATGTCAGATATAAGATCAGCAGTACAATTTACTTTTCAATTTCAAATTGATTTTAAGAAAGTTGGCAGCTCTGACAAGTAAAATCAGCTGTTCCGCTAAAAGAATTCACTCAAATTAGAATTGTTTTTTATTCCATTTTGTGCGCTCGAAGGCAGGGCAATGCTTGTGTTCTTGATCAATGCACTTCACAGATCTGACCAATTTCATGGAATACATGCAGAATGTAGAACCGACGCGTGCCGAAATTTTGGAGCAACTCAGAAAGGTATTCGAATTGTGATTTCCTATAATTGTTATCATCATTTAATTTTTATTTTCGGCTGCTGCAGCGCGAATTGTACGTGCCGAATGCCGAGTGTTTGCCAATGGAACAACTGTTACACATGTACAACTGTTTTATTGTGCCTCATCCGCGTCGGGAGCGGCGGGAGCGACGGCGGACGCTTACTGAGACGCTGCCAAAGCGCGCCACTGAAAGTGCGCCTGTAGAACTTGAACAGCTGACGAAGCGCGCCAAGATGGTCTGCGTGACCAGTGAAAAGCGTCCCAGCGAACTATCAACAGAATCTCTAGGGCATCTGCTCAACAGCTCACGAAAACGCATCAAAGTTGAGCTCCAGCAATGACCTCTCTCGCCAATGAATCAGCTATCAGTTGTGCTGATAAGAGTATTGATAAATTAGCCATGACCGTGATGCAAATAGAAGACAGGAAACAAAGTTGTGCCTTAGAGCTGTAGTTTCGAAGCTTATTGGCTTGCTGATTGCAGGTTTGCTTAGGACCATTATATATATTTATATATATATGAATTTATATATTGATGAAAGAAATAATATCAACATTAGCCATTTTTTCGTAGTTTTAAAGAAGTGAATTTCTTTTGGTTTTTTTTTTCACATATACCTCAGTACAAAGAAAACTCCAAATAAAATCGTTAATTTGATTCCTTTTTAAGGTAGCTTGTATTCTTATTTTCAAATATATATTCCAAAGTTTCTTGAGTCCACAAATATAGCTTAACTGGTCGAACGAATGGGAAGTTAGTGTACAGTGCTATTTTATATTTCGTAGCTATACAGCTGTATGTGTGTACACATATGCATATGCAAGTATGCACTCCAAGTAGTTGTTTTTGCCAGTCGTGTGTGTGGGCCACAATGAAACAGACGGCACGGCACGACACACACACACGGCAATGAGCGAGACAGAGAGCGTCTGCCGCATACATACATAATTTACTTATTTTTCGGCAGGAAAAGATTTTGATTATGATTTTTACATTTGGCTGATTAGATATACCTTACAGAATAGAGACATTTTCACCTGATTTTTTCATCTTAATATTTATTTAAGTATGAGTTATTTTAAAACATAATATAAATGCAATTTTTTTACACATGAACGAAACTAGAGTAGTCTTTTAGGAAAACATATCAGATCTGGAGCTCCTTTTTGCCGCCATGCTTAAATGAATGAAATGTATAATCTTTCGAGTCTTAAGTAACTATGTCTGAAATGGGGGCAGTTCAATTAGGATTCTTAGGAAATAAACACATAGACGCAATCTTAATATTATACGTTAATAAGGACCAAACAAATATATACATACACGCTCAGTTTACGAACTATAGCTAAAAAATAAGAGGAGCTTAAAATCAAACTATCTTTTGGCATCGATTAGGGGGAAAAACTTTCTAAAAATATACAATATAAACTAAAGAGCCTTATCTTATGATGTATGTCTATGATTTTCCTTTAGTCCATGAATTCATCGTCGTCGTCGTCATTGTTATCATTGTTGCTGTTGCCTAGCTGCCTGCCAAGAGGCGGGGCTCTTATTGGCGGGTAAGAGGGTGGACTGGATGGAATGCGGTGTGGATTGATGAGCCTGCCGGTGGGTCGATAGTACATGCTGGATTGCAAAAAGTCAAAAGCCTCGTCCTCGTCAGCACCTTCCAGGGAGTCCTCTATGGTGCGCGAGTAATCCTCGATTTCTTCGTCAAACAAGTGCGGTGCACCATTAGCAAAGGTGGCAAAGCGCATTGGGTCACGCAGGGCGCTTATAACACTCCATTGGCGGCAATTCGAGCTGTTCACATAGTCGCGCAGCTCGGCCAACGAACGAGCCGTCTCACTGACAGCCTGCTCATAGTACTCCTCCTGGGTGAGCAGGCGACGCTTGGGCGGAAAACGGCGCTTGTAAAAGCTGTGCGCGTACTGAAGCACCGAGTCAGGGCAGTAATGAGCTGCACAGACGAGCACCAGCAGGACAACGCACGCACTAGTATGCCAACTGCTAAAGTAAACGATGGCAGCGCCAACTGCCTGTAGCACCCACATAATAATATTTTGCGAGCGCGGATTCTTAGGAGGTCCGATACGATAGCAGACGAGAAACGATATTAGACCTGTAATCACCAAATACCAAAGTACATATTCGCGATAGGTGATTAATATTACACGTATGTTGTCCGATAGTTGTTTGAGTATGTAAAGTCCGATGGTCCATCCTCCGATTAGTACGCCGTACATCATTGGTCGGCGCGGAAAAAGTTTAGATGTTACGGCAATGATTACCAGCAACGACGCGCAAATTCCCAGTACCATGCCAGCCAAATAATAAAATATACTGTTCTTGGCCAACCGGGTGGCGCTCCAGAAGAGTGCAATGCCCAGAGACATTTGTATTAGACGCCATATATCTAACTGTGCATAATTGAGACTTATGTTGTACGGCTGATTGGAGCTTACGCCGATACATTGCTGTTCAAATGGCGATAGCTGGATATTTTGGCGCTTCTGCGAGAAGAGCGTGAAGCTAAACAGCGAATGCTTTTCAGTATAATGGTCAAGGACTTCTTCGGGAGTTCGCCCGCCATATTCTGAATAGTCATCGCTGGCTATGGATAGAATCAGCTCCACAGTCTCAAATAGGCTGAACAGTGAGCGTGGCTTGCCCGGATAACAGAAAGTTCGTAACACATTTTTTCCGTATCTATTTGCGGTTATATCAATTGAAGTGCCGACCGCGAGATACACCGTATCGGTAAGAGGTCGACCGGCAGATGCCGGCTTCAAAGATAACAGAACTAAAAGTACTAATAATTGTAAGTAATTCATTATGGTTTTCACTAAGTAATTGAAGTCTTATTACTTTCTGTAGAGTTTATTTATACACACACACAAAAAAAACAAAGTAGTAAACAAATTTATACAGAGCCAGCTTTTGCAAAGCGATAACGTGCTGTACAATTGTTTGTCGCAAGCTGTACGTTTTGACTACATCGAAATTCTTCACAGAACGCTAATGTTTATTATGTATGTAGCCCATGCGCAATACTTTCGCGTTTTTCATTTCTGTTTTATTTTTTAAATATTGATAAACATTTTATATATTTATAATCATAAGAACATTTATATTTGTATTATCTAATAATGTTGCTGCGTACTAGCCTCGATAGTTATTGCAGATACTTTATGGCGGATAGTCGATAGAGCACTGGAAACACACAATAATATCGATATAATTTGAAGCTCGTGCAATCGATATAAAGAAAAATCTTATCGTCGATTTGATTGACGTCTCTAAGTAGCGGCACTGGTTACGAGCTGAGCGACGATTCCATAATATTCTTTATTTTCGCCACACTCCAAATAAATAAAAGGTAATCCAATATCTGCAATAGGGATGTTTTCAATTTGAATAAACGGCCAAAAAGCTGCATTCCACGCCGCTCTTACAGTGCGAAATAAACTGAGCGTTTTACTTGTCGCTTATGGCCTAACCTACAAAGTTACATAATTTGTGTATCTTTAATTTTAAAACTAGTTAACTATTTTGAGAGGTGCAGCGTAAATCATTTGTCTTTTGCATAATACTCACTTGGCTTTTGTTTTTTCTTTCAGAACAAAATGTCGTTCGTCAGAAATGCTCGCCTCTTGGCCAAGCGCGGCGCTCGCCTCAGTCTGAATCGGTCCTACTCGGACGACATGAAGCTGACCTTCGCTGCTGCTAACAAGACTTTCTTCGATGCCGCAGTTGTGCGACAAATCGATGTGCCCTCTTTCAGCGGCTCTTTTGGTATTCTAGCCAAGCATGTGCCCACATTGGGTAAGCGTGAATCGTTATTATAACTGAAACATCGATTATTAATCAATCTCCTATTGCGCTCTGCCCATAGCTGTGCTGAAGCCTGGTGTTGTCCAAGTCACCGAAAATGATGGTAAAGTTACAAAGTACTTTGTATCCAGCGGTTCAGTGACCGTCAACGAGGACTCTTCAGTGCAGGTGCTCGCAGAAGAGGCACACAATATCGAGGACATCGACGTCAGCGAGGCCAGGCAGCTGCTTTCCAAATACCAGTCAGAGATGAGCTCCGCTGCAAGCGACAAGGTGAGTGAGCGCACTTGAAAAAGATAAAATGTCAAATAGACAACTAATCCTTCGATTCGCATTGCAGGCCAAGGCAGAAGCTGCCATTGCCGTGGAAGTCGCTGAAGCGCTTGTCAAAGCTGCCGAATAAATTAAAAAAATCATAAAACAATTTTAATAACTATTAAACAACCGAATCCACAACAAAAATAACAACAACAACAGCTTACAATTGTGTGTAAAATAATTAAAGCAAAACAAATTTGTCGACGTTTGCGCGTGCAAAAACAAATTTGTTATGAAACAATAAAATAAGCGAATACACATAATATCATCGTTATAGCAAAAGCTCACCAGCAACAACAGCACAGCCGAACTATAATCAACATTTTTTATGTTTTTTTTTTTTTGTTGTTTTGTTCGCGTGTTCAAACATTTGTTAAGCCCTACAAAAGATAAAAAGAAAATGTGAAATTTAACAGTTTATTTATGCTAATGCGCTAGACTATTATTTGCGCAAGCGCACCAGCAGGCGTTGCATTGCATAGGCGCCAACGCGAAGGTCAAGTTTAGAGTGGGCTCCAGTGATATAATTTTTTGTTCAAAATCCACTTCCCACACTCTGTTGGTGTGGGGAGGATGGAGTGCAAGTGCAAGCGGATCGTTGATTTTTTTGGAGTTTTAATTAATATTCTGTAGAGCCGTAGCTAGTTGTTGTAGTGCCTACGATTTCATTCTTGTTTAGAAAATCCTACAGGACAGTATTACATTTAATGTATATATACATATTTAGGATCAGCTGTTATTTAGCAGGTATCTCATACTCTAAATATGCCGTCTATATCCCGAATTGTTCTCAAGTTCTGTGTTCGTTTAACAGTCAGTTTATTTTATATATTTTTTTAACAAAATCAAAATACATCTATTATAAAAAAAAAAAATTAAAATAATTTATGGCGTCGTTTAGAAGAGCTTTGAGTGTGTAAAGAAACTACATCGAGAGGTCGATAGGTCGATAGGAGGCAGAAGTCATAGAATTGGAGGTCTTTGATGTATCTCCACATGCAGAAATATGTGGGGCTGGTGCTGGTGATTGTTGGCGCCTCCAGTGGTGCTGTAATGCTCTTAGGTGTTGGTGTGTTGCTGTTGTAAATGGATAACTATTTAGAGCTGAGGCGGACCATAGCTCTGGGCAGGTGCATGGCCGATGGGCAATGGTGTTTCCTCAACGGGTGCGGGGAGGCTCAAGACTGGGCCCTGATTAAAGATTTGAGCAGGTGCGGATTCCGGCACGCTCAGGACGGGCGATGGTGCCTGAAGCGGAGCGCCATATTGAATCGGAGCAGGAGCATTGTATTGAGCCTGAGCGGTGGCTTGAATGGGAGCGTTATACTGAATGGGAGCAGGAGCTGGGCCAGCAATGGGCGCATTGTAAATGGGCAGAGGGGCGGGTGCTGGTGCGGGAACTGTAATGGGTGCGTTGTAGATTGGAGCGGGTGCGTTGTATATGGGAGCTGGTGCGGGTGCGTTGTAAATGGGAGCTGGCGCTGGTGCGTTGTAAATGGGAGCTGGCGCTGGTGCTGGTGCACTGTAAATTGGAGCTGGCGCGGGCGCACTGTAAACTGGGCCTGGTGCGGGTGCGCTATAAATTGGAGCTGGTGCTGGTGCACTGTATATTGGAGCTGGTGCTGGTGCAGGTGCAGTATAAATTGGAGCTGAATCAGGGGCATTATAGATTGGAGCGGGAGCTGCAACCGAAGCATGTTCGTGAATGACACGCACCACTTTGGTATGTGCCTGAACAGATGGACCAGCATGGATGTGATGACCAGCATCGTGATTCTCATGCAAAACCTTAATGATCTGTGGGCCGCTCTGAACGATGGGACCGCCGACTAGTGGGCCAGACTCCTGATGCAAAACCTTGATCACTTTAACAGACGCGGGTCCACTGCCATGGTGGATAGGCGCTGGAGCAGCGACACCGCCTGAGACTACCTTCACTTTGTAAACCTGTGGTGCGGGTCCATAGCCGTAGCCGCCAGCATAGCCGCTGCTGCCAGAGAAGCCACCGCCGGAGTAGCCACCACCAGAGTAACCACCGCCAGAGATTCCGCCCTGTTGGTGAATGACTTTGACAACTTGTACGGATCCGTGTGAGCCACCGTAGTGTCCGCCATATGAACCACCGTATCCACCGCCGTGTCCACCGCCATAGCCACCGCCGTGACCGCCGCCATAGCCACCGCCATAGCCACCACCATAACCGCCTCCGCCTCCACCACCGCTACCGCCTCCCAAGCTGAGGCCCGACTTGCCGCTGCCGCCACCACCACCACCGCCGCCTCCTCCGAGTAGTCCCAGAAAACCAGCGTTTGCCATAGCAAAGAGCGCACACAGACACACAAAGACCTATATAAAAAAGATGATTTAAATCAAATTGGTATGGTTGGTTGTTTATGTGGGATGCTTACCTTCATGTTGACGACTATTCCTGCTTGGGCTGGACGACGACTCTAATGCCAAATTCTACGTTTTGTGTGCTCTTCAAACACGACTGATGTCAATCCATTGGCCATCGCTCGCTTTTATACGATTCCAAGACGTTGTAACCAGCATGAGCAGCGGCAACAGCAGCTGCTGTAACCAATGATCATGATGAGCTTGATGCTACGAAATTAGCAACGCAATTTCAAAGCAGCGCAACGACGCATCCCAAACTTTTGAGCTAGCCCAGCCCAAGTCCAAACAGAGGCAATATCTTGAGGGCTGAGCTAGAGTTAAACAAAAGCATTTTATTAACATTTGCAATGGCCAGGGCCTCAGTTCATAATCATCTTCATTATCGTCATCATCATTGTGCTCATCAATGTTAACATCATCATGATTATGATCATGATGATCGACGATGATGCAAAGTCTGGTTGTAAAGAAGTTGCCGCCGCCGCTTTCATTTTCATAAGGTCGCACCGCACCCAGTTGGTTCTGCATTTCCATTTCTATTTCCATTTCCAGCTCAATTTCAATTTCAATTTTCATAACGTTGTCCGATTTCCAGTTTCCAGTTGCCAGTTTCGTAAAGCCCCAACATAACGTAACGTTGCAACGTTTTTCGGTCTACTCTATGCATTTCCGAAATTCCGAAAGCGACCGCCTCCTAATTAGCATGAAAATGAATCGACCGTGGAGGCTGCTGTTGCCGCCGACGTTGCTGATAAGACGGCGCCTCCAGCAGGTGTCTCACTCTCCCACTCTCTCTTTCTAACTCTCTCACTCTTTCTTTCTGTATATCTCTGTGGACGCATTTACATACGAGTATTTTTGGTGCTGGAGCTGGCTCAACCGGCGGCTTGCTGTCTAACACAGCCCACGGAGCAATCGAACCCTCTAAATCTTGTCTCAATTCCATGCCAGCATTTCAAGGTGAATCGTCAGTGTTTGTCAACTGAACAAAACATCTCGGTTGGCCAGCGAACTGCTGGTTATGTAAAATTCCACAGCAACAAGCCAGCCATCTAATACACACAACTATTGTTTAATGGTCATAAACCGACAAACAACATCAGTAATCGCTAATTTATGCCTGTATGTGTGTGACTGACTGTGTGTGAGCGTGTTATATGTGTCCCAATTAGTGTGGGAAATACAGATTCCATCAAAATATTTGGGCTTTGATTGTCAATGTTTAATGTCTTAAGCTTATCTAAAAAAATACTTATTTGATAGGGAATAGGATGTTAATCCTTATCTAATTAACAAACTTAAACTCTTGATCCCTTGATACCTAATAATGTCTTATTCTACCAGCTTCACCGATGTCCCAACCAAGTACCGTCTAAATTTGTTTCCAGATAGACATTCAATAAAGAACAACAGAATGAATGATTATACTGACACTATCATTGAGATTGGTAGAACTGAAGGAAATAATTTCGTCTAACCCAATTCATTTGATATTGATCAGCTCCATCTATTCTACTTCTGATGAGCTACAGTCACAATTCTTACATTACCGCGGACATTAAGATTTATCTATTACCTGTTTAATCAAAGGACTTGTAAATCCGCGTCTCTTCGGCCATGCTTAGCAATCTGCAAGTGGAAGACCCGCTTAAACTGACAACGAGAACATTGTCGGGATCAAAACAGAAGTAAAAGTTATATTTTCTTTTTATATTTTAAGCTCTACGCTGTGAGTTCCAGTCTTTAGAATGAATATTTTCTTCATACTCCCTATTCCTTTATATATATAAAAGAAAATCAGCTGTTAAAGATGATGAGAAGTGCACGGGATAAAACATTTAGTCCAGTTCGCGAAATTCAATTTCTCTAGTTTAAAAGCACTCTAATAATGAATGATAACTCTGATGGATTTTGAAATAAACGGGACTACTCTGTCTCCGTCTCTATCTCTATCTCTATCTCTATCTCTATCTCTATCTCTATCTCTATCTCTATCTCTATCTCTATCTCTATCTCTATCTCTATCTCTATCTCTATCTCTATCTCTATCTCTATCTCTATCTCTATCTCTATCTCTATCTCTATCTCTATCTCTATCTCTATCTCTATCTCTATCTCTATCTCTATCTCTATCTCTATCTCTATCTCTATCTCTATCTCTATCTCTATCTCTATCTCTATCTCTATCTCTATCTCTATTTCTATCTCTATCTCTATCTCTATCTCTATCTTTATCTCTATCTCTATCTCTATCTCTATATCTATATCTATCTCTATCTCTATATCTATCTCTATATCTATCTCTATCTCTATCTCTATATCTATCTCTATCTCTATCTCTATCTCTATCTCTATCTCTATCTCTCTCTATCTCTATCTCTATCTCTATCTTTATCACTATCTCTATCTCTATCTCTATCTCTATCTCTATCTCTATCTCTATCTCTATCTCTATATCTATATCTATCTCTATCTCTATATCTATCTCTATATCTATCTCTATATCTATCTCTATCTCTATCTCTCTCTATCTCTATCTCTATCTCTATCTTTATCACTATCTCTATCTCTATCTCTATATCTATCTCTATATCTATCTCTATCTCTATCTCTATCTCTATCTCTCTCTATCTCTATCTCTATCTTTATCACTATCTCTATCTCTATCTCCTATCTCTATCCTCTCTATCTCTATCTCTATCTCTATCTCTATCTCTATCTCTATCTCTATCTCTATCTCTATCTTCTATCTCTATCTCTATCTCTATCTTATCCTATCTCTATCTCTATCCTATCTCTATCTCTATCTCTATCTCTATCTCTATCTCTATCTCTAATCTCTATCTCTATCTCTATCTCTATCTCTATCTCTATCTCTATCTCTATCTCTATCTCTATCTCTATCTCTATCTCTATCTCTATCTCTATCTCTATCTATAACTATCTCTATCTCTATCTCTACTCTATCTCTATCTCTATCTCTAATCTCTATCTCTATCTCTATCTCTATCTCTATCGCTATCTCTATCTCTATCTCTATCTCTATCTCTATCTCTATCTCTATCTCTATCTCTATCTCTATCTCTATCTCTATCTCTATCTCTATCTCTATCTCTATCTCTATCTCTATCTCTATCTCTATCTCTATCTCTATCCTCTATCTCTATCTCTATCTCTATCTCTATCTCTATCTCTATCTCTATCTCTATCTCTATCTCTATCTCTTTCTCTATCTCTATCTCTATCTCTATCTCTATCTCTATCTCTATCTCTATCTCTATCTCTATCTCTATCTCTATCTCTATCTCTATCTCTATCTCTATCTCTATCTCTATCTCTATCTCTATCTCTATCTCTATCTCTATCTCTATCTCTATCTCTATCTCTATCATCTCTACTCTATCTCTATCTCTAATCTCTATCTCTATCTCTATCTCTATCTCTATCCGATCTCTATCTCTATCTCTATCTCTATCTCTATCTCTATCTCTATCTCTATCTCTATCTCTATCTATCTCTATCTCTATCTCTATCTCTATCTATCTCTATCTCTATCTCTATCTCTATCTCTACTCTATCTCTATCTCTATCTCTATCTCTATCTCTATCTCTATCTCTATCTCTATCTCTATCTCTATCTCTATCTCTATCTCTATCTCTATCTAATCTCTATCTATCTCTATCTCTATCTCTATCTCTTATCTCTATCTCTATCTCTATCTTATCCTATCTCTATCTCTATCTCTATCTCTATCCTATCATCTATCTCTATCTCTATCTCTATCTCTATCTCTATCTCTATCTCTATCTCTAGCTCTATCTCTAATCTCTATCTCTATCTCTATCTCTATCTCTATCTCTATCTCTATCTATCTCTATCTCTATCTCTATCTCTATCTCTATCTCTATCTCTATCTCTATCTCTATCTCTATCTCTATCTCTATCTCTATCTCTATCCTCTATCTCTATCTCTATCTCTATCTCTATCTCTATCTCTATCTCTATCTCTATCTCTATCTCTATCTCTATCTCTATCTCTATATCTATATCTATCTCTATCTCTATAGCTATCTCTATATCTATCTCTATATCTATCTCTATCTCTATCTCTCTCTATCTCTATCTCTATCTCTATCTTTATCACTATCTCTATCTCTATCTCTATATCTATCTCTATATCTATCTCTATCTCTATCTCTATCTCTATCTCTCTCTATCTCTATCTCTATCTTTATCACTATCTCTATCTCTATCTCTATCTCTATCTCTATCTCTATCTCTATCTCTATCTCTATCTCTATCTCTATCTCTATCTCTATCTCTATCTCTATCTCTATCTCTCTCTATCTCTATCTCTATCTCTATCTTTATCACTATCTCTATCTCTATCTCTATCTCTATCTCTATCTCTATCTCTATCTCTATCTCTATCTCTATCTCTATCTCTATCTCTATCTCTATCTCTATCTCTATCTCTATCTCTATCTCTATCTCTATCTCTATCTCTATCTCTATCTCTATCTCTACCTCTATCTCTATCTCTATCTCTATCTCTATCTCTACCTCTATCTCTATCTCTATCTCTATCTCTATCTCTATCTCTATCTCTATCTCTATCTCTATTTCTATTTCTATCTCTATCTCTATCTCTATCTCTATCTCTATCTCTATCTCTATTTCTATTTCTATCACTATCTCTATCTCTATCTCTATCTCTATCTCTATCTCTATCTCTATCTCTATCTCTATCTGTGTCTCTATCTCTATCCCTAGATTGAGACTTTATCTTTATCTCATCTCATCTTGCCTCATCTCAGTTGTGGGTGCAATAGCTTCTGTTCTATTTAACCGGCAGCAAATTCTGAAGAACTTTTCAGTTAAGCATCAATTTGTTGCAGTCCATCCAAAGTTTCTGGGCACTTATCATGTTTGAGTTTACAGTTTTTGAATTTATTGGGATATTACATTTAAAAAAAAATAAAAAAAAAATTGATTGCAGATATTTTGGACGAATCTTGAAGCGTATTATTTCCCGAGGTTTTCAGGTAGTTGGAGTAAGTTTATTTCTTTTCCTTCAGCCAGCCGCCGTAGGCGAGAGGAGCATCGTAGGCGTGTCCAACGCGCAGCAGAGATGGCGATGAAATGTAGGCGGCACGGTGCACGGGCACCACAGAGTGGACGACGGGCACGGCGACGGAATCGACGACGGGCACATGGCGAACAACGGGCACATGACGAACCACGGGCACGCTACGGACAACAGGCACGTGGGCATAACTTGTGCCAACGATGGCGCTGCTCTGGCCAAGAGCCAGGCAGGCGGCGAGCAGCAGACAGGCAAGGAAGAACTGCAAAATGATATCCAATAAATACTCGATCAGTTCACTTGGGCATCAATCGATGGTGGTTAGCTTACCTTCATGTTGATTTGATTATCGATTGATTTGTGTTGAAGTGCTCCGCCGACTGGTGGCTTTATATAGTAGCTGAAGCAGCAGCAGCAACTGTCAGAGAACCTTGTCAAAAGTAGATCAGCAAACAGGAAAACTGGCCAGAGACGCAAATAGAATGGCATATGTTAAAAAACCCAATCTAATCGAATGGCGTTATGTAAATTTTCGCTAAATAAAGGGAGACATTTAGATGTCTGGCATTATTATTGAAATTGTCCATATTTGTTAAATACGTTGCCGAATGACGCGCATCTGCTCCAATCGGCTCGACGAACGCTCCATTCAATTTGGAAGAACAATGAGAACTTGTTCCTGCACACAACTTGGTAGTTGGCTCCGGTTTCAGCTACGACTACGTCTTCGCCTCTGTCTTCGGCTCTGGTGCCTTGATTGATTCTTTTCATTGTGTAAATTTATCGAACTTTTTTTATTGCATATTGTTTGCTTAGCCAACTAAAATGCTAATCAATGCCCACAACATTTAGTGTAGCTTCCCCATATGATTTCATGCTGCGTTTCGAAAAAAACTCAAATAACTCAATAACAAAAACTGTTAAAAATAATATATGTTAATTCTTTTTTTGTTGCTAATTTTGCATTTGGTGCCTCTTTGTTTGACGTATTTATGCCCTGTATAAATTAAAGAGCATATTCGTTGCCAGAATTAGTTAAACTAGGGTATATGCCAGTCGTGCTTTTAAAATTTAATATGCTTATTTGCTGAATTTACATATGTTTTCAGACGTATATACTTCGTATATATTAAACATTTAGTTTGTCCGTAAATATTGCATACTTTTCAATCCAACTCGTATAGGAAGTAAGTTGCCTTTTACTATTATTGATCGAGAGCTCTATAGTGGATTGCTCGTTTTGGCTACCCATTGATACAACTGAAAAATTACAATTCTCGATGTAATAGCTTGGCTTCGATTTATGTAACATGCAGAAGAGGCGTAGCCGAGTAAATGGTGCATAACTTATATTCTGGATGGGACTCAATAGTCGTTTGTTCAATATTTATCTTATAGGTAGAGCTGGAGACTTGACTGCACTTGTACACACGCCAATAACGGCAAATGTATATAAGTTTTTGTTTCAAATTATTGATAACTTTTACCACAGTCAAAAGATCGATAATATCAGCCTTATCGATCTTGAACCTTGAATTGAACAATCAAATTTTGAATGCTAATAAAATATCTTTTTTTTTTAATATTTGCTTCTAATTGGGGCTCCCGCTATGAGAACACTCTCATTTGCCTTTTAATAGTATGAATGAAAGCAAAACTACGACCAGTTAATTCTATTTCACACGTTTCTTGACTTTATAAGATATAACCGTAAATAAGAAAGGAGAAACGTCGATTCAATTAGAGTATTTGAAATAAATGTGAGAACTTAAACAAGATTCTTTTATATCGCATTGAGTAAAAATATTTTAAAATGGACCAGGTTTGAAAATAATCAAATTCTTTAAAAGCCTTCGCACAAAAATATGAAACTTGTTTTATTTAGTTTAATTAGAAGTATTAATATTCAAAAGCCTTAAGAATTTGAAGTAACGGTAATATCTTCAGAAATATATATGATGTTTATATATATATTATAAAAGCTACGCTTCAGTTTTCGTATAATCTCTGAAAATTTGAATTATATTTATAGACTACTTTTGGTAGGTTCACTACTTTGTATTTATATTTTTATATTTATATTTATTTTATATACTAATTTGCATTTTTTGAGTTTGTATTTATACACTATTTTGTCATATATATATTTTGTAATTTGAAACAAAAAGAAAATGTATATATTATATCTCCTCAGGACTGCTATATATATATATATATATATATATATATATATATATATATATATATATATATATATATAAATATATGCTATATATATATATATATATAAATATATGCTATATATATATAGAAATATATAAACATATATATATATATATCGTCTACCCTGATTAGGTGAGGCTTCGATCATAACATAACATAATCTATATAGATCTACGCGTAATCGAAAATATCTGCTTTTAGTTTCAGTTAACGAATTCTGTATACGAGGGAAGAGAAAAGATAGTTCATTAGACTTCAACTGAGGAATCCACTCTGATCTTTGTCAATTGTCACAGGGATCGTTATCCACAGCATAAAATATTATTCACCTATTCTAAGAGGTCCCAAGGTATTTCAAGAGGTGTTCTACCTTCTTCAGACTATCATTGTTCTGACTCGCTGATTTATGCAGATCTTATAAAAGAAGCCGGAAATGTATGCTGGCTTCAGTCTTGGCTAAAAGTGAACAATACTTTTATTGGAATACAATTTCTATGAATATGCCATTCAAACTGACAAAAGAAAGACGTTGAAGATGTAATAAAAACCTTGATATTCTGTTGATTAGTAATAATAGAAAAATGCATGCCCAAGAGCGTACGAAATTAACAATCTTGAAATATAGGAAGGTCACTCAAAACGCCAATTTAGAGTATTGAGTCAATAATATTTAGTCATAATTTGTCAGCTATATTAATTTCTAACTCTATTTAGCACAGATTCTGTCAGATCTGATTGCAATAATCTCAGAGATCTGAAGATAGGGTATATAATACTTATAAATGTATAAGATTTCCTAAAAATTTTTCAAAAATCTTATGTGTTAATATAATATATAAAATATCATGTTAATATATTCTGCTATATGACGCATGAACTATATAGTATAGATATATTTATGTAGAAAGTGATCTTGGTACTAAGTGTAAGCAATCGTTAGAATATTAGTGGGAGAATAAAAATATTAATAACATAAAATAAAATGGTATAAAATAATATATATATTTATATATTATATATATACATATATATACTATATTATATATAAATAGTCATGAATGTGGCGCTGTTATCACACACAAATTCAAATTCAAATTTGGTATAAATTGTTATCTTCGCTTTGTGCTTTGTTGTTCGATGGGTTATATAAGAAATAAGATTTCACATTTGTCGCCGAGACAATTGAGTTTTGAAGATCGCTTAAGATTTTGTACGAGATTTGTAGGTGCTACAGCATCAGCGACGGCAACAACAATGCGATGCTATCTAAAAATCAATTTGAAGTTACGCCAGCTGTAGCTGCTGCTGCCGTTGCTGCTGCTGCAGCGACCCGCAGACGAGTTTCACCTTTGGCTTTGATGCTCGGCTCGCGGCACAGCTCGGATCTACGCATTTGGCAACTAGCTTGACTGGAAATCAATTCAAGTGGCCCCTTCCCTTTCTGTCGCCCCATTGCACCGACATCGTTAGCTGCCCACTGCCAAGGGCAGCCAATGAAAGTCGTGCCATTATGATATAACTTTTGGTCCACAACAAGTTACAAAATTGTCTTGTGTCTTTTCTTTTTCTTTATGTTTATATATATATTTATTTATTAACAAATAATTTAACAATGACGAACATACATATACACATATATAGACAGGTATATATATGTATATGTAAACATATTCATATGCAATTAATGACTGCGCGATGAGTTAGCCTAGTAAAAAAAATAAAAAAAACAATTCATTTGGTCTAACTAAGCGAGCTGGGTGCAGGGTCTACCAGCCGGCGGGCTGAGCGCTGCTCCAGCCGCCGCCTCCTATTGAAGCACCACCGCTGCTCCAGCCGCCGCCGCCGCCGCCGCCACTGGCATAGCCTCCAGCACCATGAGGCTGCTGCTGCTGTTGCTGTTGCTCTTGGACGCGCATCACTTTGAGCGTGCCGCGCTGCACAACGTGCCCGCTCTTGAAGAAGGCGCCCTGCGCTTGATCCGCGCGCATAATGATGGCCTTGCCTCTGTGTCCGAAGGTGTCGATCAGCTGACCGTTGATGGCGTCCACATTGCCATAACCACCACCGCCGCCTCCATAGAGGGCATCCTCCTGCAGCACGAGTTGAATGATCTGTGGCAGAATCGAATTCAGCTGATGGTTGTTGTAGGAGGCATCCCCGCCGCCATAGCTATGGCCAGCTGCATATGATTGGCCATAGGAGTAGCCAGAGCTGCTGGCGCCGCTGTTGGCGTGATAAGCAATTGGCGCAACAGGTGCCGCATGCTCAATCACCTTGTATACCTGTTCGCCGTATGAGCCATGACTATGTTCGTTGGCATAGCCATGTCCGTAGCCTTGACCGCCTGCAACACCGCCTCCATTGCCATAGCCGTGGCCATTTTCCAGAATGACCTTGATCAGCTGAGTGGATCCACCGCCACCACCACCGCCATATGAGTAGCCATGTCCATGGCCATAAGAGCCACCTCCTCCACCTCCTCCTCCTCCGCCATGCGCATAGGCATGTCCATTTCCGTGAGCTCCTCCATTGTTCGGTGTCGCTATGACATTGTAGGTGGTCTTAGTGCCCCCACCGCCGCCACCACCGCCGCCACCGCCCAGAAATGACAAAAATGTGGCATTGCAAGCGGCAAGCGTAGCTAGTAGACAAACGAAGACCTAAGGCAAGGCAGAGCGATGCATCAGTCAGTGCCGCATGGGCTATCCAAAGGAGGAGCTGTTACTTACCTTCATTTCGGCTTTTTCTGAATCTCTCTCTCTCTTTAATTTAATTGATGTTATGCTCGAGCACCTGTGCGCGTCGAGCTGTTCCCGGTTAGCGAATGATGCTACTTTCGCGCAGCCGTTGAGCTTTTATACGGGCTGTTCAGCTAGAGAGTTCCCGTTAAAGGGCCGTCCATCGTCTATCGTACGGCGTACGGAATCGGTTGCAACAACATGCTGCTCGCTGCTCGCTGCGCGCTGCGCGCTGTTCGCTGCCCGCTGCTGAGATTCGTAAGCTCGGCGATGACGGCGCTGATGGAGAGTCGGCGATACGCATGCGAAGGGAATGCAAATGGTAATTGGAAGATACGCGTAATGCGACGCAAGCCGACGCGATGTTCGGCTCCAAGCCAAATTCAAATCATTTTGCTTTCGTCCGCTGCTCATCTCAGCTCTCATAATTCACTTATGATGTTTGAAAACAGCTTCAAAGCACAGACAAGAGATAAATATGCTATTGCTTGACTTTAAGATACTCTGGCCATAATGTATAACATTTAAACATATAAATTTTAAACAACCCTTTGGCAGATGCCATGGAACACATACAGCTTTTTTGGAATTCCAAAGCAATCGAGCATGCCGTAGAACACAAGAATATACTCCGTAAGTGCCCCAGAATATACCCTTTACCTTATTTATACCCAGAATATACCCTTTACCTTATTTATACCCTTGAATATATCCTAGAGGATATCCTAGAACATACCCAAAGAGATACCCTATATATCTTAGTTCTTAAACATTAGAAGGTTCTCTTTTTAAATGTATTTTAAAGTATTTAAAAAAAAATATTTAGAATTTTCTGGACATATGGCCAATGATGACATATGTTTTAATATTGTATAAGCGTGGGATATTGGAAACTTGATACACCTTGGCTATAGGAGGACCTACACATGCCTATAATTACCAAGACATTGCGTGTCATAAGCATAGGCATAAGAATCGATATAAGTAATGCAATGTATATCGAAACCAATAATTATCGGCTACGTAAATCATACTTTACGGAATTGGCATGCTTTTTTTAAAGCCTATAGTTGAAAAACTCTTACAGGGTATATCGATATGAAGAGGAGCAACAAAGTATTTTATTTGGTCAACCTTTTCTCCCGCGCCAACGAATTTTGTTATACAGGGTGCTTCGGCTGAATGTTAATTGTTGAATGTTATAGATATGATAAATAGAGGGAATATTGGTGTATATATTTATATTTTACGTAATAAATTTTGTATAAATGTTCGAGACATGTATATATGTCTGCCAAAAATAAAATAGCACCAGACACATAATCTAAGTTACATGTCTGAGCCTAAGGAACTTATGAATATGAGAAATAGAATTCTTCCTATCATTGCGAACAAAGTCTTTTGCAGATGCTATTTTTTGCTTCGCCACAAAACATATTATATAAAAAAGCTTTAACGCTTTAACCTCTTTTAGCCTAAGCTGGCCTTAAGCGCAGTTTTGAGAGTACCTAAATCCATTTAAGCGACAACCGTAGAAAACGAAACGAGGCGAGGTATCTGGTGCGACTTTCAGAAATTTATTTACATTTATTTGAGTTTGTAGTGTAACGCGTAGCAAGTGACAGCAGACACCCGGTATATGTATTTTTTGTTTATTTGAATAGCAAAGATATGCAACAATAACACGAGCATTAGCGCAGCTTCGAGCCGAGCGACCCATAGCCCCCCGCCCTCGTACTCCACCCCACCTGAGGCACGGATCCCACGTGTATCAAAAATTGACCGGCTTTTTGCATATGATTATCGATTCGAGATTTGTTTCTCTTGCTGCTGTTGCTGTTGCTGTTGTGGCTTTCGTGTTGTTGCAACAACTTGGACGCTTGTCGATTGAGCCAATCTGTTGTTAGTTTTGAGCCATGAACATCTTCACTGCCGCTGTCGCAGTCGACGTCGACGTCGCTGCTCGCTTATATCATGCATATATCTTGCATTTTGTTAAAATTAAATGCGATTGGGATTTTATCACTTGGATAGAGTGTCAAAACATCCAACTACACAGAGGTACAGATAGAGTTGCAACCTCAGATGATTATGCAGCTGCTGAGGATGATTCCATTCCATTCCATTGCAAACAGCTAATTGTTTGCAAATGTATGTATGAGTGGTATGGCATGGCATGGCATGGCATGGCATGGCATGTGGTTGATCAATGACCAGCATTCCACTTTAATACTTACCCACTTTCCTGCTAGGCGCGTGGGCAAAAAAGGGGAAAAACACTTAAAAGCTGTTGACTCATTTCTCTTTTATTGATTCATCAGAGTTAGTTTGGCGTTTGATCAGTTATGCAACTACAGGAACTTAGCAAAACATAAAATTTCAACAATTATATCATAATCTGCTTATTTCCTTTAATATATTTTTTTCTATTTAATATATGGTTAAAGAAAAGGAGGGAAGTTCACTTTCGAGCAACTGGAGTTCAGTGGATCAGCTTCTTTTTATTTTACCTTTTATTAATTGTAATTTGATGTGAGCTGCTTCTATGAAGTTGGATTAGAATGAGCCTGGCGGATATGCACAGAGCGAGAGGATTGAACTGCCATGGATGAACCTTAATTTGCAATTGAGTCCAGTGTCTTTTAAGTGATTCCAGCTTGTCTAAGACTTTAAAAGACAGTCTTGAGTTCTTTACATAAAATATAATTGTTATATCACAGACAATTGACTTCTGAATTTCTAAAACTTGCTGTCTAAAAAACATCGTGTTTTAAAACTACAAATTCAAGGCTTACAAAAATCTAAGTAAGAGTTCTATTCCCTTAGCCTGTAAGCATACTTTCTGCGGTCGAACTTTAAAGTCCATCAATTTGAGAGCTTTTAAAAAGTTCATTTCCTATCGATTAAACCGAATTAACATAAACCAAATCAGAAATATCAGATCTAGAATCAATTCTTATTAAATCTCCTTTAAGAAGTATAAGGTTTACATAGCTCAGCTACTATTACTGCCGAACCTCTTGGCAATTTGCCATGGGAATTAACTGAAAATAGCAAAATGTATATGTATACCGGTTGCTCTGCGGCTCACTTAGTAAGTTTAGTTACGCCTATTTCTCTATATATGGGGCAGGGGAGTTGCTGCGCGAGCCAGATTTCCGCATTTCGACAGTTTTCATGTTTAACATACTCGTCGTATATCATCGCCACACGCATAATTAAGTGGATATCCACACGAACGCCAAATGCTGTTATATCATACATGGTTATATAGGTTTTGTAGACTCCGGAGCTACACACTTATGTAGATTTACAAAATTTCATTCATATTTTGTTGGCCAACCACATTCGGGTCGACATCTCCACTCTGCTCCGCTCTGGTCAGCTCTTGTTCGGCTTTTATTGTATCGGAAATATTTACTAAACAGCTTAACAAATAGTTTTTTTAAACAAATATGTTTGCTTTGGCTTCTTAAGGAATCTTTCCCTAATGCACATTTTGCATTTTTATTTAATTTAAGTGAGCGAAACTCCTAATCCAAATCTGGTATAGAAATGTGTCTTTGATATAAGGACTATTGGATAATAGTTTTAACTGACAGAAGAAGGCGTAGCCGACTCCAAAAAATATTTATATTCTTTATCAGAATGACGAGCTGAGTCTGTCTATCCGTCTTTCCGTCTGTCCACCTGTCCATCTGTATATGTGTATGTAAGCATACAAGAATACTATGCCTCCGCATAGGGCATCTTCTAGTCGGGCACTTCCGTGGAGAGAAATCTTGCATGCTATAACAATTTTAACTTGGTTTGTTTTTCTTAACTTTGGTTTTCTTGGTTTGATTTCAAAAACTAAAAGTAATAATACACAGTTAGAAAAGGAAAACTAAAATCTACATCATATTTAAATCGGAAATGTATATTTAAACACATATATATTACATTAGATATGGGTGTTATTAAAGCATTCATTAGCTAATATCGGTGCAACCCAGATATTATCAAATTGATATTGATCTGGTTTTCTTTTGATCATCTCCACGTGAGCCGAGTTGTGTCGAGCTGCCACTTAAAACTCCCGGTTCGAGAGGTGTGCCCCCCGGTCGATTACAAAATGATTAACTAATTGGTATTTCGGTATGCGTAGAGCTTAACCATTGACGGTTCGGCGGCTCTTTGAATATGTGAATCAGCAAAAAAAGATATAAAAAACGTGGAGAAAACCAAATTGCGCTTGCTCTCTCACCCTCTCTCTCTCTCTCTCTATGCCTCTATCTAGCTTAGAGAGTATAATTTGTGTGTCAAGGGCAATTGGTTTGTTGTTGCATCTAACATCTAACACGACTGGGAAGTCATGAGCAAACAATGGTATTGATTTCTTTAACAATTCTGGATAAGTATTTACAATATTAGAGCTTTTGTTAGAAAAGTAAAGCTTACTTTAGAGCTTTAGATTATACACATATATATGTATATTTATAAACAAGATGGGGCAAGAGTAATCAGTCGAGCTGTATTTTTTGTTTTTAAAGATAATACTAATCCTTTAAAATGTAATCCTGCAAGTCGAGAATATGATATTAGTCCAGCGACCGCTGCTAGAGTAGATGAGCATGTGGACCAGTTATATGGCATTTCTGGAATGGTGATCTGGCTGGCTCGTGTAAGTCACCTAAACGAGAGATGCAGCGGTTCGTTTTCCGGTCTCCATTCGTCCAAATTTGGTAATTATGGCTCTGTAGCTTCGTCGTTCCCCCGCAACGTTCTCAATGGAAAATGGCCCAATGAATCCTCCAGCATAAGCAGCACACCGCGCAGCTCTTCGTGGGTGATTTACAGATTTTCGATACTCCAGAAATGATTATTTTGCTCATTTATTCGATTTGCATTCGAATACCACATATTCCACTTATACAACATATAACGCATATACCACTTATATAAAATATACAACAATGTAATACGTATACCACGTATATCACATATACCACATGTACCAAATGTACTACGTGTACCATAAACACGACATATTATTATAAAAAAAAATTTTTTTTAATTATTTGAAAATATTTTGCATTTATTAATCATTTAAAATTCGCTTAGCATAGTTTCTTAATTATCTAAATTTATTGATTAAAAAAAAATTGACACACATACATACGTTTTCTTAATTTCCTTTCGTACACTTTATGCTATTACCGCTAATAATAATAATAATAATAATAGTTGAATAACATGCAAAAATATGCTCCAAATGGTGTCAGCGCCTAGAAAAGGGATCGATATGAGTCAATAAACCAAGTTGTTTGGATTATATTCGTTGATCCGTGTACATCGCGCATTACATATTAAAAACCTATGATAATTTTCACACCTGTGCTTATTCACCTTCGACTCATTGTTAATCCACAGCCCGCTTCGTATTTAGTTAAATTCTATGCCATACGTAATTCGAATATCTCATCCAAAAACTTCTGTTTTTTCCCCGTTTCTATATGCAAAAGCAGTTAAGGTACACGCATACATACATACACACACACACACACAGACACACATTGCTACTGCAGAGGCTTGCTACGGACGGACCCCAGCTTATAACTAGGGTAACTGCACAGCTAAATTATTTGTCTACTCGCTCTAGATGGAACTGTAGTTAGGAACACAGCATTGTGTATGACTATGTATGTATGTGCATGTGTGTGTTCGTGGGTGTGTGTGCACGTATGTGTGTATTCATTTATTTACAATAGTATATAATAGTAATACATAGTATGAGTAGCTGTTTAAAAGTAGCGCACGATGCTTGCGGGACGGGCGTAAGGCATTGCTTCGCAAGCGCTTCGCGCTACTCGCCTTCTGCTTCGCCATGACTGTGTGTGTGTGTGGGTGTAACAGTATAATGTGCATATCTAGCTATATAAACCTACATAGGTGTATGTATCAATAGTTAACTAGAAATTACAGCGTGTTTCGCATATACACTAATTGGTAAGTTGAATTGGCCTGGTTTGATTAGAGTAAGAGTTGTAGAGATTATAATTTAAGATTCGCGTTTTTCATCTAGTTTAAGACACAGCACAACATTTAATAGTTATTTAAGTACACTTTCAGTTTCTCAATGGTTCTGTTTCGATTTTTAATCTAAGATTAACACTCACACACACACACACACACACACACACAAACACACAAAGATAGAGGCAGAGATAGAGAGAGATAGATAGAGAGAGAGAGAGCTAACTATTGGGTTTCGCTTGAATCTTATGCTAAATGCAGCCCAATTTGATGAAAATTCTATGTTTGACTAAGCTTTTACAATTTCACAATAATTTTTGTCTTTTTGGGAAGATTACTATACTGAATGTTTATATTGCATGTATTTGGTATGCTTGAGACTAAGCTAAAGTATAATAAATACAAAAAAAAATATTATTATAAAAATACTTTTAGCAGATGAATTACAAAAAACCATAAAATGAAGTATCCAGAAAACTTAAAAATTAAATCACAATACTATATATATACATATATGTGAAAACAGTATATGCATATTTATTTATATACATATATATATTTATATATATATATGTGTATATGTAGAATACTCTAACAATTGTTATACTATATCTTTAAAAGAAAAAAATCACTTTGATAGCTTAGCTCAAGTGTTGGGTCGTTGAATGTTTTGTGGAAATAAATAGAGTGCTTAAATATGGGAAATCGAAGTTCATTACATTATGTTTCATGTACAAAACGGACAGACACGCAAACACACACAGAGAGACAGACGCACATTTTTAAACTATATAGTTGCTAAAGCTTAAACTTTGTAGTTTTCGTTTTTTGATTTTCTTTTATCTTGTTTTTGTTTTTGTTTTTGTTTTTGTTTTTGTTTTTTGCTTAAAATCGTTAAGGTTGCCCTAATTTTTGGTGTTTTATTTGCTGTCGTTGCTTAGCTTTAGAGATTAATAGTGTCCAGATCTTGGCAGGGCGCACGTGGACTTAGCTCGTCGGTGCTGGCGCTGCCTTGATACGTATCGCCACTGGCTCGTCCGTCGTGCCTAATGTCCGCCATCGATGAATGTATCTGATTATTTTGATTGTGGCGTAGATTTGTGTTGTTGTTGTCATTGCTTTTGCTGCCGCCGCTGTTGTTCGCGTGGTTCGACTGCTTGTTGTTCATGCCGTCGACTGACGCGGCAACGCTGTTGTGCAGCGTCTGCGACTTCTTGGTGCCCAAGCCCAGCGGAAAGGCAAAGTCCTGTGGCATCTTGTGCATGATCTTGCCCGAAGTGATCAGCCGGCCAAAGCCCTCCTGCATAAAGTAAAAGTAATATATGTGAGTGTGTTGGAAAATATCATCAAGCAGCATCAGCACTCACCTGATGCGCAAAGGCGTAGCCCGAGCGTACGGACCGACGTCCACGACGCGAGGAGGGCGTGCGCCGCACATCGCTGGATACTCGCGAATGAACCTTCTTAAGTGATTTTTGCCGAATCTGCAACGCAAATTGATACAATCCATTATAGGACACGTCTTATGGCAATTACTCACCTTGTCGGAGAGACTGGGATGGACGTCGAGCAAGTAGAATTTGTAAGCGAGCACTGGTGCCATCAGCATGACGACTGTGATTAGCATGGTCATCCAAAAGGTTAGATCCTTGATGGCCTGCGTCAAGGAGCCCACATAGGGTCCACCAATTACATAGTTGTAGAAATAGTCGAGCACAAAATACCAAATGAGACTGCCCCAGATGGTTACATGATTGACTATTGTCCAGTACGAGGTGTAGAGCGCAATCTGACAATGTAAAGATAAATTTTTTAGAACCAAATAGATTGCATTAACGCTGTCAGAGCTGCTCACCTGCGCCGTATTATCCACAATCAGTATGGTGGCCACGACAGCGCCGAGCGTCATGTGATCGCTCAATATGAATCCATTGTGCGAGACGCCGTCCTTATAAACGCCGTACGGTATGAGGAACAGGATGAGCGAGGTGAAGGCGCCATGCAGCACACTGTAGATGAACTCACGTATGTTGAACAGCTCACTTTTGAGGCCCGGCGTATATAGTCGTGGGTACTCCACGCTATTCTTATCGGATACGTCCTGCTCAAAGACGCCCAGTGCCAGCACCGGCAGTGATGTATAAAACAAATTGTACACCGATATGAACATGGGATCGAACACGGTCTGAATGCGCAAAGATAATTGTTATTAACATGATACAGGGATTACGATATGAGTTAGATAAATTCAGACATAATGCACAACTGAAGGAAAAATGTAAATAGGGAAACCCAACAAACAAAGACAGCTCGAATGCGATTTTCTGTCAATGAATAAAAGTAACAAATAAACGATCTGCCTATGTTGATCAAATCAACGGCGAATCGACAATTGACTTAGATCGGAACAGCATGAGCCAGAGACTTTATAAACTTTATAAAGACTTTATATACGGCATAAGTTAAAGCTCAACTCAAGCTGCTTGCAATTTCTCTTCTTGTATTCCTTTTTGTCTGTCTGAAGGAGATTCTTCAACCAGCTGAGATAGCTGGTATACTAATAGGTATTACTAACAACTCCTGCTAAAATATTACATGTCTAGAGCGGGACAACTGGACAGCCGCAGCTATAAGGCTAACCACGTTTGATGAGAATCAGTCGAACCTCACCTGTGCACTGAAGCCACAGAAGAGGGAATACCAGCAGTGGCACAGCGTAAATGCAAAGTTCTTGTAGAAAAAGTAGCGCAGAAACTTGCACATGCGATAATATGACCAACGTCCATGCACCAGCAACAGTCGCTCCAAATGGCAGAACTGGGCAATGGCATAGTCACTGGATAGGACCGCTTGGAGTCCCTCCTGGCCTGAGATGCCAACGCCGATGTGTGCAGCTAATGGATAATAGAAGACAACAATAATAATAACAATGGGTGGCACACACAAGTGTGGATAGGACTCACCCTTGATCATAGAGACATCGTTGGCACCATCGCCAATGGCCAGGGTGACAGCATTTTTGGCACGCTTGATGAGTTCGACGACCAGCGCCTTTTGTAGTGGTGTCACTCGGCAGCAAATCACCGCCTTACACTGTGAGGCAATGTCCAAGAATCTGTATAAAAGAAATGAGGGAATAATCCATATTACTCCAAAATTTGTGGCCTGAATCAAAAAGACGATCATTCTTTCAGTCAGTAATTGGCTAACTAAATGAAAATTATAGATGGGGTAATATTGTTCGAGACTTTAAAGAACTGTCAGTGGTACTCTCTATAGAACATATATTACCAAAACTAGAGTAGTTAGTATGGTAAGTAGATTTTTCGATCAGAAGACACATCAATGGTAAAACGATATCGTATACAGACTAAAGAAGATCTGACCGCTGGTATGAATTTGCTAAATTTACTTATGAGATATATTTACTACTATATATTAGCTATTGAAAAAAAACTAAAACCTGCTAAATTCTAATATTACTCTTGGATATTGCTCTATCTGAACATTAACGCAAATTAAGAAATACTATTTAATGCAGATCTCGTAAGCTATCTGCAAGCCTTAGTACTCATATTAGGAGTGTCTATGGCGCTTTCCACTCACTTGCTCTCCAGTTCCGGTGACAGACAATGAACAAGCGAATGGCCATTGACCACTAGGGCGAAGCCGGTGTTCTCGTCCACAATTACCGAGGGTGCAGAGCGTCTTCCGTCCATGTTTTTCTCAGGATCGCCAAAAATATCATTGCACTCGGCGCTGTTCGTTTATGGGTGTGGGTGTGAATTTGTGTGGGAGAGAGAGAGAAAGTATATATTAGTGAAAAGTTCAAAGGAATCGTTGTTTGTGTGAGGTGTATAGGTGTATATGAGAAATGCAAAATAGTACGAACTTTGTTAGATGAGTTTTTAAGAATGGCCATACAAGAACAACAGTCAACATTTAGAGTGAAAAACAGTTACAGAAACAGAGTTAGACAAAGAGGGCGAGTGAGAAAGAGAGACAGAGAGAGAGAGAATAAGAGATACTTCTGGCACTCTCTTTTTCTCTGTTATGTTCTTAAGAGAAAATGTAGATGAGAACAAATATTATTCTATATGAAGAAGGCAGCCGATATACAATATACGATATGTGATATACGATATACGGTATACAATATACGATAAACGATACATGATATACGATATACGATACACTATATTCGATACGATACACGATAAACTATACATGATATACGTTATACGATATACAGTATATGATATCCAATATACGATACACAATACAAGATATACGATATACAATATATGTACCCGATATACGATATACGATACATGATATACGATATATTTTATACTATACATGATATACGATATATTTTATACTATACATGGCATACGATATACGATATACAGTACACGATAAACGATATACAATATACGTTATCAATACACGATGTACGACATACAATATATGATACACGTTACACGATATATAATACATGATATACAATATACGACACGATACATAGATACAACTATAATTGAAATAAAATTAAATGATATTAGTTATGAACCACAACAACAATAACAACAATTAGAACTGAGGATCGGGAATCGGACTCGATTGTAAGCATGAGAAATGTAAGTTTAACTTTGGCCTAAACTTTGAATTTGTTTTGTACTCAAGTTTAGTGTTTGCTTTGACTCGATAGTCGCATTTCTTGTATAGAAATTAAATATGATTATGATGACAAAACTGACAGAACTTAAACAATGCACATTAATTTGGTTTTATACTCATGAATATAACAAAAAACAATTTGTAATTTTAAAAAATTGTGTTTTTTGTTGGTTTTTAGTTTTTTTGTTGTTTACTTGACGGGCGGAACAAGTACCAATAGAGGGTAACATCCTTGGGTATACTAGTAAAAGATACATTAAGTTATAATTGTTTTGATCTAGTTGTGGCTTTTCCTTTTTTGTTTTGTTTTGCTCTACTAATCAAGCGGTACTATACTATATAAAACTAAAAGCTACTATATAATTCTTTTATAGGTAGCTCTTCTTGTGAGAGACAGGGAGAGAAATCTAGAGATCACCGAAAAGGTAAGTAAAAAAACAGAAAAATTGTAGTTTACAAACAAATATGGTTAATTAAAACCTAAAAAAAGATAGATAGAAAGAGAGAGAGACAGATACATAGATTGATAGAGTTAGCAGTAAAATACAGGGTGACTTTCTAGCTGCGCTGTGGTGTCATATCTGGTTTAGCTTAACTGCATCTAGAATCTTAATTCATTGTTTTGATTTTTTTTTTAATTTTTTTTTTTGTTTTTTCTTTAGCTTGAGTTGAGAATTTGGAAATTTGCTTTTGGAGTGCCCTCTACCTGTCTGGTCCGCCCTTATTATCCTTAATTTTGGCATCCCACCTAAAGGTAACCACCGATATGGCTGGCGGCGGCGGTGGTATGGTCGAACCGTTAGCATCCTGCATAAAAGCCGATGTCTGCGTCATAGCAACGCTCATTGGATCCATGCTGCTGTCACTGTTGAAATGATTCCGTGCCTCGGTACCTGAACGATATACAATACTATTAGCGTTGATCCATCTATTCTGAGCTCCAGCACCTACCGCCTGGTCGAAAGCGATCAAATATCTTGATAGATTCCTTGAACTGACGCAGCTGCTTTTCCACCTCCTCAACGGAGCTGCCATCCACGATAAATACATCCACGAGCTCGTCTGTGAGCAGCTGGCAGGAATAGCCAATGTTTATAGCCGTTTCTACCAAGAGGATAGAAGTGTTTTAATGAATTGGCCTATTGCTCAGGTGTTAATAATGAAACTACCTTGCTTGTCTCCAGTGAGCACCCAGATCTTGATGCCTGCATTCTGTAGGTTCGCTATTGACTTGGGTACGCCGTCTTGCAGCTTATCCTCGATGGCTGTCACTCCCAGCAGCTGCATACCGCTCTCAACCTCCTCGTACATGGCGTTCAGCTTTGATTCACGCGAATCCATGGACAGTGCCGCCTCCTGCTGCCGCGTTCGCCAGTCGTTGTAGTACTGCTCCGACAGGCGACGTTCCGCCAGTACCAGAGTGCGCAGCCCCTCGCCCGCGAATTTCTGTTAGAAATCTATGTTGAACAGTATTTAATTTACGATATCGATCACTTACATTCAGATGATCCTGGGTGCGAGCCTTGAGATCCTCTTGTCCGCCATGCAAGCGATCGTATATCACGTTGTCGGCGCCCTTGCAATAAAGCACCACTTGGTTGCCTCGTCGCAAGATGACGGACATGCGCTTGCGCACATTGTTAAAGTCGAGTATGTGCAGCAGTTCGTATTCCTGTGGATGTTCGATATCAGATCAGTTTTAGGTAACGTAGTGTCAAGTTTCACTTACCTCCAGGCGACCCATTACTTCGATGGTAATACTGTTCGGTGTGCGTGTGCGAAACACGAAGCCAAAGTTGCGCGCGGCCGAGACGAGGGCCGCCTCGTCGGGACTCTGCGCCTGGTACTCCAGGTGTCCGTCTACGGTCTCCGCCATGACCGTGTGGCACAGAGCGAGCAGGCGGAAAAAGTTCTGCGAATGCTCTTCATCGGACCGCACCGCGTCCAGCAAAGTACGATCGTACCAGCGAAAATCGATCTCGTGGTGCGGATTGGCCGAAAAGTCAACCGGTTCGAGTGCCTAAAAATTTGATCGAACGGGATTACATTGAGCTTGCTTCAATTCAACTTCTAAGATATCAGTGTGACTTGTTAGCATTGTTGAGTTAGACAAATGTTTATATTTGTAAGCAGTTAATCTTAGCAATAAGCAGAGGCAGGCACCAGATTCCAATTAGATTACGATAAAGAGGTTTACGATAGCTTGGCTGGGAATTATATTGGGTGGTTAGTTTAATCAAAGATGTTAACGTAACATATTAATAAATCTATCTTTAACAACAATATACATATTCAACTCCTAATACGATATCTGAATTACGATATTCAATATGCCATCAAGCGGTTCGTAAATACATCGTGAGAATATATCCAGGGTCTACGCGTAGAAAGTTATGTACCATATTCTATTGCAATGATACGATATGCGATACGATAGGCGATACGATATGCGACATGCAACTAATACTATTTCGCCAACGATAATCATCGTACGTTTAACGGAATGCGAACATTGAAAAGGCATTAGATATGATTAGCGTAACAAATAATACCTAAAACGATATGGAGCAAAGTTACGATATTGTATGCTATGGCTAATAAGCTATACGATCTATTTCGATTAGGCTTACGATATTAATTAAGAGTGGGAATAACCATCTAAAGCAGTTTTCATAACTATGTATGTATGCGTATGTGTATGTGTATGTGTAAATGTGTGAGTGTATGTGGGTATATCAGGTGTATATCTGTAAAGCCAGTAAAGCACTGCTATATATAAATAGTTATATCAAGACTTATATCCCAAAAACAATTAATACAATTGGATCAAGCTGGAGCGAGGTGTTGACCACACGCATACGCACACACATATACACACACGCAGAGTTGGGATTACACTGAAAGCCAAACATTTCGTATTGCTTAAGACATATATAGACAGGATTTGGTTTGAGAACAGGTGGACAACATGCATACGTGCACTTTTTGGTGGGACGAACTCCAATTAGTGGCGAAGCGGTGGGTGCTTAGATAACGGTGGTGTGCGTTAGTGGTGGTGCATGTGGTGTTGGTGGTGCAGTTGCTACTGCTGCTGTTGTTGCTGTTGCTGCTGCTGCCTCTCTCGCTTTTTCTATAGCTGTGTTGGTGCGGTCGAAATGGAGCACAGCAACCGCTGTCGCTGTCAATAGCTGCTGACTCGCATTCAGTGGCAAATGATGAAGATGGCTTTAAATTGAATTTGACCAGCTTGCGGTTAGTTTGTGGTTCGTGTTGTTCTTGTTCTTGTTCTTGTTGTTGTTGCTGTTGTTGGTGCTTGTGTTCTGGTTGACTGTCATGCAAGATTATTACTTTGTCGCCGCTGACGCTGCCGCTGCCGCTGGTGCAGCTCGTAGAGAGCCCGCCGGATAGCTGACGGCGCATGCGCTGCCCGCTGCGCGTAAAGCAGGCGCCCAAGCCGCTGTTGGCGCTGGGACTGTCACTGGGACTGCGATTGTCGGAACGCTTGCTCCCGCCGGGATCGTCCACATCGTCCTCATTGGCCACGCTTCTGCTGGGCGACAGGTAATGCACCTGCTTCCGTGCCAGCGGATTCTCCACTGTGCTAATCGTAGGCGTTGCCTGCTCGCTGGCAATGCGGCCGCACAGTTGCTCCGGACTGTGGGCCAACTGGGTGCCACCGTCTTGAGTGACTAGAAGTGCGCTCTTCTTTGCATGCACCTCGGCTGTGTGCACCAGTATTGTGGGCGGTGCCGTGGGCGTCGCTGCCGTTGAAGCGCTGCTGCTAGTGCGCTTGTTGGCGCCGCTGCTGCTTTTGCTGTTGCTGTTGCTGTTGCTGTTACTGTTGCTGTTGCTCTTATAGCTGTGGCTGCTGTTGCAAGTTTGGAAAAGTGTTTGCTGCTATAACGAGTAATGTGAGTTGTTGGCTTGCTGGGCACACAATTAAATAATAAGACACACAATATCTACGAGTTACGGGCTACGGTGCTTCAGCTTTCTTGTCATTGCAATTCCTTGCAGTCGCAATCATCGATGCTGATTCGATGCTCAAGAATTTACTCTATTCACATACGATACGATACTAGCTAACAAGTTAATTCGTAATAAATCTGTTATTACATCGCAAATCTTCAGTCAGTTATCAGCTCATAAAATTGAAAAAGGAAACTGCAATGTATAACAGTTTTGTAACAGTTATAGGGCTGATACTTAAAAGTTATGTAACAGCTATGTAGCTTATGTATAACAGCTACATATCAGCTATATTGCTTATGTATAACAGTTATGCAGCAAATGTATAACAGCTGTCGAGCAGTTAAATTGCTAATGTATAACAGTTATATAACACTTATATAGATAATGTATAACAGCTGCCCAAGAGCTAAATTGCTAATGTATAACAGTTGTATGACACTTATGTATCAAATATATAAGTAATATAAGTTATAACAGTTGTATATCAGTTGTATAGTAGTTACACACAGCTGTCGTATAACGTTTATAAAGCTAATGTATAACAGCTACATAGCTGATGTATCACAGTTGAACCATATATCAGTTAACACTTGCACCCATAATCATAATAACGCTCTAGTATCGGAAATTTAAAACAAATGTTCAAAATCTGAATAATCTGTGGATCTTTCCAGAAGTTTATAATTCAGGGATTCGAAAATATTTTAGCATTCCATATTTTAGTGACTAATTGAATTGAATTCAATTTACTGACTATTATTTGCTCTTAAACATACAGGTGAAAGGCAATAACGGTGCTCTGTCGTTAGGCGTGGGCGCTTGAATACATTTCTGTTGCATACCCAACAGGCGCACAGTGCACACACACGCATACACACAAGATGCACACACAGATAGACAACATCGCCCAATTAGTGTTAGTTCGCTTAAGCCTCGTTCCCCACACACAGAGTAAACCGTTGCCAAGTGGCCGGACAGAGGACTCGCGCATGTATAAGTAGACGAACATACATATATGTGTGTTTAATTGGTTACAGTTGGCGCTGGGCAGAAAGGAAGAGCAGAAAGGGGACTCACCTCAGTTATTTCAATGAGCTCGCCGGTGCGCAGGTCAATGACATCTCCATAGGTGCGTCCATTAATGCTGCACTTGTTAAATGTCATTATGTTCTGCGTGAGGGTGCCCGTCTTGTCCGAGAAGATGTACTGTATCTGGCCCAGCTCCTCGTTGAGCGTGGTGGTGCGTGCTTTGGCATATGTTTGGGTGCGTGCATAATACATCTCCTCGTCCCAATTGATGAGGAACGACTGAGCAAAGCGTATGACCTGCACGAACAGAAATCGCATATCATATTTCACACATACATATATTTATATATAAAGGACATCTTAATTATGTACAAATACGACCCAGCCATGTCCTGGCTCATTCTGCCTAGGGCTTAAGCTCTCAAATAACCTTTTAGGCAGATATTGAAGCTTGTTGGTATGAAAAATAAAGAAAAGAAAAGATTTTTGCGTATTCTCTTACAAATTAACTAAGCGGTCTGAATGCCTGTTCAGAACCCTTAAGCGTCTATATTCTTCGCCTAGTTACATATCCTTCAAAGTGAAGTCATACAAATCTTAAGAATTGTTTAAAAACAAGGAATATAAATTGAGGAACGTTTTCATACTTTCCACAACTTGGAATAGAATTTAAAATACATTCAAAACTTTTGAGATAACTGAACAATTCATGTAGATTACTTAGGGAAATATATGGAATGCATATGGATGTATATATATAGCACTGACCTCTACTGAAACATAGAGTGAAATTGGCACAACTGTGTTTAAGACTATGGCGTACGAGAAGAAAACGAGCAGCCCAATGACCGTTGCACCGGAAGCGACCATTTCTTGCGGTATGATGTGCTCCCAGGGCAGATATAGCTGAAAATGCTGACCGATCAGACCCTCCCAGATGGCGCAGCCAAGCGCAAACAACGCACAAATCGAGACCAGAAACAGCACAATCTGCAAGCAAGGACAGTCCAATGTTATTCTATAATAGTTATGTATGACGTATGCCTTGACTAACCCCAATGATGATGAAGTTCAGCAGGCGATCGACTCCTGTGCTTTTGAACTGCGTCTTGCCAGAGTTCTGCATTAGTTTGGTATCGACGCCGGCAAAGACAACGACGCCGTAGCACCATTGCGTGTTGCGCAGAACACAGCCGCGCAGCAGAATCTTATCGTTGTCAAGAGCGAAACGCTGATTCTTCCACATGAGTGTGCCCTCGAATTTGTTCAATAGGTTGTTGGGTCGCTCACAGATGATCTCGCCGTTGAAGCTCCACAGTAGGTCGTGCTGTTCGCCCAGCTCCGTTGTCTCGATTAGGCATTGTTTGGCCTTCAGGTTCGTCTCACCGTCCAGCTCGGCCGTTTCAATGAAGCAGAGTCCATTCGGCTCCGATGTCGTCAATAGCATTATATCGGCGGCCACAAATTGATTGTTGTCCAGACGAATCACATCGCCCACCTGGACATCAGACCACTTGGCCTCCACTAACTTGCCATTGCGCAGAGTCTTCGACTTGCGATTGTTCACCTGCGAGTCGGACAGATGTCGTTGCTGTCAGACGGAAAAATGCTATACATTATCTTCTTATACAGTTGGTATATATACTTACGATATCGTCGTAGGCATCCTTTACGGCCGTTAGCGTCAGCACCCCAATCAAGGGTATCGCTGTCGTCACCGGAGTTAGCGAGGATATCGCCGGAATCAACTGGAGCACCAGCAGGCAGAGGAAATAGAAGTTCGCCAAGCGCTGAAACTGCTCCAACAGGTTGAACGGCAGAAACGTCAACAGGGTGTACTTTGACGTCTTAATGTAGTTGTTCTACACGTGAGAATAAAATATATCATTTTATATTTCAAATGCGTTTCACTAAGGCATGAGAATTCGGTTATAGCTCATCATTGGCCATGCCAGAAAATAAGTGGAGTCGACTCATTAAGCTTAGCTTACTCTTTATTGACCCATATTTGTTTCATGTTTAGTTGAAAGTACCGAAGTATCAGATGTTCTAAGCATCCTATGCATCATTTTTCCTACAACCCCAATATGGTTATTTGCGAAACTTGTAGTATACAAATAAGACATCTCAATGTGTGTACGCTCGACAGGCCAGGTCTGCACTATTGAAATAAGGATTTGCCTAGGATCATCCATTGTCTGAGTCTATATTATTTATAGTTTGTGTATTCATCACACGACCCTATCAGCTACATTTGGCATCTCCCAGGCGTCATCCTTTTTAAGTTACGCCTTTGTAAGTATTTAGTTATAATAGGCAAATGGGATGGAAGTTGTACTGGGTTTCAAGTTTGTGGATTTTGAAGTTAACGAGATCGCCGCATACTTAAGAACGGACAGACAACCAGACAGAAGGACGGCTAGGTCGATTTAATTTATCGTCCAGAAATATACATACTTTGTGGGCTCTGCCACGCCTGCTTCAGCCTGGTACATACATTTCACCAAAGCCAATATATCCAACATTTCTTCAGGGTATAGAGCAAGATACTCGTTATACAGACTTAAACTTAAAACTTTACTCACGTGATATTTAAACTGAGAATTGAAATCTTTGTCGTTAGCACGGATTCTGCGTTCATTATCTGCAAGAGAAAGAAAGAAAGAGGAAGAGAGTTAGCTAAGAAATTCTAAATGGATTAGAGCTTAGGTCAAGTTCTATTGGCAGCTACCCAGTCCCCATTTACCCGAGAAGTAGTACGAGCTACGTCGACGTCGCAGCTGCGATAGGCGTCGCAGATTGCGAGCCGACACCGACGCCGAGGCCGAGAGTGGAGGCTGCGAATCGAGCTCTCCGCTTTGGAGGCGACTGTGGCGACGGCTGGGCAGGCTTTCGGGTGCACTGCGCCGCCAGCTGGAGAACCGCTGCAGCATGGAGAGACGCGGCTTGGACGGCGGCTGTTCCTTGTACTGTTGCTCCACATCAATGGCAGCCTTGGGGGGATCCCCAGCATCTGCATTGGCCAAACTGTAAAAGCTATCGGTCAGGTGGCTTGACGCAGTGGTTGTCGATGTCAGTGCTGGCTTTGTGTGTATGGCCGCGGGCGAGGCGATTGTCAGCGTTGAATTGCCAATGTTCATGGTCTCTGGCTGGGCCAGGCGCACCTGCTGCTGCTCGACTTCCTGCTCCTGCTCTACCGCCAGCTGCATTTGCTCCTCCTCACATCGCAGCAGTCGTCGCCGTCGCGATTTACTTGCAAAATTAAACCAGCGACTGCGACGTGTCGTTGCTGCCGTCTGCTGCGCAACAGAAGCTGGCCAATGTTCCGGCTCCTGTTGTTTCCGCTCCTGTTCGGGCTCCTGCTGCTGCTCGTGCTCATGCTCCTGCTCCTGCTGTTGCGTCCTTAAATCTACGCTCAGTACCTCCAGCTCGAGCGTATCTGGTCTTTGGCGCACACTTTGCCTAGTCTCGCTGCATTTTCTAGCACCGGGCATGACGACGACTCTATATAGCTAGCTGCCTCTTCAACTCCTCTCTCACATAATTATCTAATCTATATATGCATATATGTAAATATATATATATTTAAATCTGACATTGACATTGTCTCTGTTTGTCATCGTCGTCATCGTCGTCGTCAAAGAATTTGAAATGAGCCCGGAAGCTTGGGGGTTTGACTTAGTCAAAGGATGCGCCGGTATATCATAACAATCAAATAAGACTCTTGGTCCATTTGCTGCCAAAACCATTTGAGCAACCTCCTATGAACACATTCACAAACTCAAACACACACACACACACACACACACACACACACGCGCGCGATTCAAATATATTTTTGAAGAAATCCGAGATTTCTTATGATTTTGCAGCAGAAAATCTCAGAGTTGTGCTCGACATCGATATTTAACGGTATTAAATTGTCGAGTAATTCCACTAAATAACATATATACGCTTCTCTTCTCTTATCTTTGTTCCTCATTGCCACAATTTGCCATGCGACAGCCGACTTGAGCCCCGCGTGCTGGAATCGCGTGCCATAAAGAACAGAACATCTACTAAACACATATATGAAAATACTAAATAAAAACAACAGTGCAACAACAAAAACAGCTGTGCAGCGCCACAAATGTTTTTCTTCAATTTGTTGGACGGTTGGTCGCACGCGGCGTATGAGTAATAAATAAAGTCTACACGCTTTTGCCTTTGATTTGGATTTTCGGCCACTCGGCTATTTCTCTGCCCGCCCAGAAGTACAGTAAGCACTAGCTATAGCTGCAAGCAGAACACTTTTAAGGTAAGTTTCCTATACTCCCTCAAATACTTCACATCAAGATCTTAAGATGTTTGTCTCAAAAAAGTAGTGGGAAAACTTAGCTGAAGCTGCTTCTTCCAATAAAAAGCATATTATTTTTAATAGAAATTATAATTTCGAAATTCAGGATTTTTCTTGATATATAGTATACCAAGTAATATATGCATATGACCCTACATACAGTGAGGAGTGACTACTGTAGCTGCCTGCAGTATTATTATGACAACAACAACAAGAATATCAGGCAAAAAGTAGAAAACGGAAATCTGTTTAAAATATTTAAAATTCTTGTTAGAGCAATTTTTCGTGCTCAGCGAACAATAGGAGAACAAATATGAAATTGAAATATTTTCAACATTTGTTTGCTTTTCTGTTGTTATTGTTACTGCTGTTGTTAGACAATGTTCTCTGAGTACAATTGGCAATTATAATTCGAGTGTGTTAATTAGATTTCATTGCGTTTTTGGAAATGCAAATTGAACATGAAAAGTGCGAAATGCCAACTAGGCCAAATGCCGTATTCCAAACAACGCTCAGCTGGCACAGCTAAGACTTATCGAGTGTATAAGATATCTCGTACATCTTCTATGAACATCTACATCCCATCTACAAGCTTTTCATGTAAAATCAAGGTTTTAGCTAAAACTTTTGTTATGTTTTCTTCTACTCTTTAATAACTAAATTCACATAGTTCTAAAGGGAGATAGAGAAACGTAATGAGCATTTATTTTTTACAGGGCTTATAATATTTGGCATGCTAAAAATAGACACTTTGACAGCATATATTATATATTTGTTGATTTTTCCTTTTATGACTACAAGGTATATTTATGTCCATACAAATGTTTTCAAATTATCACGTCATCACGTAAATAAACCTGTGAAAGGTCTATATGAATTTATCACTAGAAATCTGTTTCCCTTTGGGGCAATGGAGAAGGTGAAGCTTCGATAAGCTAGAGAGCAACAGGTAACAAAAGTATTTGCAATGAAATGCAAAATTTGTTTGACTACAGGTGTGTTCACTATTCAAAGGTAGTGTATAAATTGCATCGGTTTGACTAATATGACTCGACGCAAGTGTTGTTGAACTCTTTGAGTATGATCATAAGCAGTGTCGACAATGTTTCTCCTAGTCTCTATAATTCGACTCATTTGGTCTCTCTCTCTCTCTCTTTCGCCTAAGTCACGCGTTGACTGTGCAAGGAGTCAAAGAGAAAGACCAAAAAGCAAATGTAGTCGACTCTCTTGTGCTCTCTAATTTGACATTAATTTGATTCCTTGAACATAGTTTAAAGACAGCTCTGAGAGAGCAGCACTAAGAATAAAGAGGGAGAGAGAGAGAGAGAGAGAGAGACAAAGAGAGCAACAAAATGAACAGCCGGTAAGGCTGCTACGTCACATTACTCTTCACCTATGTGTGTGCGTCCGCTCCTCTTCCCCTTTTTACATGCATGAGTCACGCATATGCTCCTTGCGCCTTTTGCTTCGCCTGCTTTACATTCGGCTGAGCAGGGCGTAAGCGTGCTTTTTGTTTTCTTTTTACCATACATTTTATACGTTGTCGCATGCGTCACCATGGTAAAGACTTTAGCCGTTGTGAGGCGGTGCTGCCCAGTTTACATAAATTAACCCAAGTGCAAGAAAAATGTGAGACAACAAAAACAATGCCAAGTCAATGGCGAATCGATGGAGGCTCAATAATAATTATGCTGAGACAGCAGCAAAATAAAATTAGCAAACACTCAGCACAAAATGTATTGGCGCGCATCAGTGGGTGGGTTCAGGGGCGCGGTGCGGCACGGGCTGGGTGGGTCTCTGGGTGCCAGGTGCCAAATTGCAGATGTCCGTGCATCATCCGCATCGGCAAGAGCGACAACGACGACGACGATGGGTAGAATGACCATAATAACAAGAGAAAACAACAAACATGTGTTGTCGCATTTTCGATATTTGCTATTTGCGTACATTTTTAGCACATTTCTTATTGCACTTGCACTTGTTTTTGCTCGTGTTGTTGTTGTTGCAATGTGTTTGACAATACGTTTATATATTTGTTGTTTTCGTGCTTGTTCTGGTTAGATTTGCCGTTGAACAATTGGTATTCGTACGCACTTATATCATATCATCATAAATTGAACAGCGTTTTGTGCAATTGAAAACATTATTGGCGAGAAAGACAACAGCAACAATAACAACAACAACAACGACGATGACAATAACGAGGAACGCGAAAATAAAAACGCGAAAAACGCGAGAAACGAGCGCTGACCAAACGGTAAACAGCAAACGGGCAACTGCCAAGAAGCGAACTGCAAAAACGAAACGACGCCAGCGACGACGACGCGGCATCGCCAACGTCAGCGTCAGCAGCAGCGACGCTGACGCAATGGCAACCAAGCAACCAAACTTAAACCGAACAGCCCCACTAGCTTAGCAACGCCGCCAGAAGACTCGCGAGAGCCAACACACAACGACGACGTCGACGCCGACGCTAACGCTGACATCGACGCCATTGCCAGGACAACGGCGTGAACGGACGGTGGAAAATTAACTATTAAGATATAGAAGATTTTGTACCCTTTCCTATGTTCTATAGACTTGCAATGTGATGTAATAAATGGGGACGTAAAATATATTTGTATGCTTATTGTTGAAATAACAAGTTTCTTAATTATTATTATTAATATTATTTTGTAATCAAACATAAGATATTATTATTAACATAACTAAAACGCCCTAATAAAAATTAAATTAAAAAACTCTTAAAATCTAATCCGTCCTAAAATTTCAAGTTATTTGCATACAAATATAAAGACGCACATATGTACATATATAACACTTTATCAACATACCTGGTTAAAAAATAATATACCGACTGAATAAAAAAGATTCGTGTACGAATATATATCTTCATACACACGTATGTATTATCAATCAATCCTTTTACATTTTTAATACCATATACGAGGCCATAATAATTGAGAACTGGACACAAAAATACCGTAAAAGAAAAAAACTTTGGTCTTGGTTGGATAACATTATTAACTATGTAATGCAACTTGTAACTTCCTTGGGTATAGTTTTAACCAAAAATTAAGCACTTCCAAAATAAATTTTTTTATTTTAACAACTTGTATTAAATCATGTTTTAACTTCAAAGTTTTATTATCGTAAAATCTTGATATATTGTATTAATAAATATTTTCTTCATGTTGGACATTTAATTCCATACAAACAAAACAACTTTGTTTCGAGAAGGGTATTGAAAATTCACATTTGTTACATTGAAAATTATCAAGCTTGTCAAGCGAAAAATGAGCAAAATGTTGAGCGTATATATTGGACGAGAGAGGGACATCAGGTACCAAGGAAAAGAGAGTGAGTGAGTGTTAGCTAAAGAGGGAAAGGGAGAGGGCAACCAACAGAGTAGGGAACAAAGAACAACTGCGGGCAAGAGAATGTGCTTACGAAAAGACAACATTTAAAAGCGAAAGGCCAAAAGAAAACTAAGTACGCCGCTCTTAAGCGACTAGTGTATTATGATGCATGTATGTGTGTGTCTGTCGGTGAGAGAAAAAGAGAGGGAGCTCAGCAATGGAAGGGGGTGGCAACATAAATGGCACAAGCCCACATTTAGCGTTTGTATGTATTTGGGTATTTATATTTGTATGTACCATGTATATGTAATACATTTTCGAACGGGAATCGCCTTTTTTTCTTTCTTTATCCATTGTTTTTGTAATTATAGCTCCCTGGGGCTAGCAACAGAATTTCAAATTGACGGCAAATAACTACACACACACATACATACATACTGGAAGTCTACTTTCACTGTTTGTTCATCAATCATTTCAGCAATTTGCAAGCAAACACACGCACACACAACATTTCTTTCTGCTTTGATTTGAAAATAATCGAACGTTTATTGAATGGCAACGAGAAATGTGGAGCGACAAATTAAATTGTGAGTTGAGTTGAGTTGAATTCAATTGAATTCAATTGATTTGTGTGGCATACAAATGCAGCAGTAGCAGCTGCTGCGGGGCAACAGGTGTTCAGATTACACATCCGTCGCGTACGCCAGCCCACAAAATTCTCAATGTCATTAAGTGCTCAAAAAAGCAGACTTCTTCATTAATTTAATTAACAATTTTGTGAAATAGAGCTGTCTCGTTTTACTCAAGTGAACTACATAACTAATTCACGTAATTCAATCGTTCAGGAACGATATTTTCTGAACTAAGCCTCTGAGCAACTGGTTCTGCTGTTCATGACTTCAAAATTAACTCGTGTTCCAAAACTCTAATGTCAAAACAGATTTTCAATGCTAAGATTTCTTATGGTTTTCAATGCTTGGGAAACGCATAGAGAATGACCAGGAGGTGCGCATCTCGGCATCCCATGATGATGCTCAACATTGCCCCAGCAGCAATAACACAATTAAATAACTTACAAATTGTGCTCACAAATATCAATTACTGTAAGAGCTTGCCACACAAATGAAAATGCAGGAACGGAAGTGACCGACTATGAGATACCCTAAGCATCCGCACAAAGCTGCTTGCTTCAACAGTCTTCGCTTGCCACACACAGATCCACATACTTACTGACATGGACTCCTCGAAATTCTTTTCTAGATATACATACGTCCTTACGGAAATGTTTAGAACATAACCATGACATCCAAATGGTTGGTATACCGCAGACCAAGTTGAAATATCGATATTTATCGACAAGATAGCGAAAAAGATAAAGTTGTACGGCTTGCGGTACATGGACGTCATTTCAAGTGTCAAGTGTAAAGATCTTGTGGTTGTATTAATACGGACGGCTCCGCGTCTCCATATTTCCATTATATGGATTTTTGTAATGTTACGCACATCGGCAAACAGCTAAAATGGCCGGAAGTCCCATTATCAATGCGTACAGGGTATAAGTGAAATTAAGACAACAACTCACAAAACTAAAAACAAAAACAGCAACAACAACACGAACAAACAATAGCAACGACAACGTCACAAATCATGACCCAATAATGAACACAAAACGGAAATGATTCCATTAGTTTGAAACTCTTTGTTGTTGTTGCTGTTGGTTTTGCTATATCTGGCATGCCACTGAGTTGCACGTCTTTCATTCACTCACTCATTCATTCATTCATTCATTCACTCAATCATTCATTCACTGATTCATTCAATAAATTTGTAAAAATTGTTAAGCTTCACTTTCTATTTGTTTTTCCCGTTTCTTTTTATCTTTTTTTGCGTGTTCCCTATTCATGGTCAAGGTGTTACAACCACTCCCCCACACACATACACACACGCGTCGGATGATTGGCAACCCTCGGTGGCAAAATCGTGTCAGGGTCGATTGAGCGAGAGCTAAGAACCCTCGCCTAGGGCTCCCAGTTGATAGAAAACGGGGCCAATGTCAGCTAAGTAAAACATAACTAATTATAATGGCACCTGAACACAATACTCATGTTTTTACCCGTACACAAATCACTACGAAAATCGGTAAGGTACACACACTTTACTTACGGGTTGGAGTCAGCTTAATGCCTAACAAAGATATATCCTCGTCGAATAGGAGGAGGACGTGAGGTGGGGCGAACATTGATTGACATTTTTGCCAAAGGTCGATGCTTATCCATAGGGAAAGATGTGGCATTAATAAACTGTCAAGCTCTGACAGGTCATATATGATAAATGTATTTATATATACACCATCTTTACGTATTGTATGGAGTTACGCATTCCTCGAAATAAGTTTTTGCATTGAAGAAAGATTTTCACGCCTTTATGGGACGTTGTCAATCAAATAATCATTCCGAATCAGCTATAGACGAATTGCAACATTGTAGACTGTAGACTGTTGTTCGATTGATAGACTGACTGCACAAATTATTAAATTACGTATGAATTGCTTAATCGACCGATTGATAAGCTGTCTGACAGTTCAAGAAATTGATTCACTGATCGATTGGTTGACTGGCTGAGTGATAAACTATCGGATTGATCATACAATTGACTGAGAACCAATTGACTAATTGATAGATAAAATAATTCACTGACTGACTGACCTACTGATCTACTGCGAGTAATTGATTGATCAAATGATTGAATGGCTGCTTAAATGATTGATTGACTAATAAACTGACTTTGAATGACTGATATCGTTAGCTGATTGATTAAAAACTAATTGATTAACTGATTGAATGAACGAGTGATTGATTGACTGATAGGTCAGTTAAGTAATTGACCGACATACTGAGTTAGTATTTCACTGATTGATAAGCTGACTGATAGAATGATGGATTGATAGGCTGATGGGCTGACTGTTTAATTGATAGTCTGATGGACTGACTGACTGACTGATCGAAAAGCCTGATCGACCACTGAAGTGAGTGACGATTGGTCGATGGACTGATTGACATTAACGATGGATTGCTGCACTGTTTATTCAGATGACCGACTGATGGATTGACTTATAAAACGATTGATATGCTAATTGACAGTTTGACTGACTGATTTACTAATTAGGTGTTGGTTGATTACAGGATTGAATGATAGACTCATTGGCTAAGCGACTGATTGCCAACAGGGACGATTGTCGATTGATCGGCGCACTTAACTGATGAAAACTTTTACGGACCTATTGAATAACTGTCTGCAATAACACAACTGAAAACCCGAACATTTTTTAATAGTCCTCTCCAATGTAGATGAGCACACAAGATGGGATTGCCACACATTTCAGGAAATATCTCTACAAGAGTCACTTTTTATAGTCGACTTATTTTTTACTGATTTTTATATCCTATATGGAGGAGGCGTGTCATATTCAGAGAACGAGCTGAGTCGATCCACCCATCCGCCCACCCAGCCACGCGAACACAGCGATATCGTAAGCTAAAGATTTGATATTTACAATGTATCCTCATGTTTACCATCCGGGGTACGAGCTTATCAATTTTAAGATAACTCATCCCATTTTGTCAGACTAACTGTGTAGGTTCCTTTAAGGAATACAGAGATCTTGTATATTTTGGATACCTTCCCACTTAACTGACATTTAAATATTTCAAATACTAGAGACTTGTGCATCTGGATCCCATAATTATGCCCTGAAAGTTCATCTAGAACAAAAGCTATTGAACGATTAAGTTACCTTAGTACAACTCATGGTGCAGTCCAAGCGCATTCGCTCTGTGTGTGTGCGTGGGCGTTGTTTACAATGTACATATAAAAGAATCATAGAATGATTGGAATATAAACTCTTCGCAGGGTTCAGAGTATCTCCTAGTCGCCCGTCTCGACTAGAGCATCTTTATTTGTTGTTCAAATTACTGAAAAAAGGCAGGAAATGTGTTTTCTGGAGTCACTTAATTCAACTCATTTTTTGGCCGTTATTGCGAAGTAAAATAGCACCGCACTCAGGAGGACGTTGGATCGTTCGAATATGTTTAATTAAAAATACAGAAAATAGGCGTCGATTTCAGCTTTTATATGTGCTGAAATCGGCGCGTTCTTACGGA